CAGAGGAATACTTTAAGGCTTCTACTTTGTAAGGAAAGACACTGAGTGGCTGGGTATGTATTGTCATGTGTATGTTGAATGAGGAAAATACATTGGAGACAAACACAAAGGCAGTTGTGTGATTTCTACAAAGGATCTGCTTATCAGTGAAACATCAATAGATCCTGAGTGATGTGAGTGTCTTGGAGAGGTCATGACCTTAGAAAGCTAAATAAAAAATAAAATAAAAAGCATTAAATAAATAAATGCAAGCACAAATCACAAATCTCTGATTTTTGAGACCAGACTGAGCAAGACCTTGTCTCTGCAAAATATTTTTTAAATTAGCTGAGCGTGGTGGCATGTATCTGTAGTCCCAGCTACTCTGGAGGCTGAGATGAGAGAATCTCTTGAGCCCAGGAGTTTGAGGCTGCAGTGGGCTGTGATCACACCGTGGCACTCCAGCCTGGGCAACAGAGAGAGTCCCTGTTTCTTTAAAACAAAAACAAAAACAAAAACAAAAACAAAACAGAAAAGAAAAGAAATAATACATCTTCTTGTGGTCTGAGTCAGCCAATGAGAACACAACCGTGGAAAGATCTTGGAGTCAGAAAAAAGTCATAGAATTCTAGGAGTACAGCATTCATTGTCCTCTACTGTCCTGTGCTAATGCAGACCCAGCCATTCTTTGTATGCCTCAATTTCCAAAAAGTCTTTTAGTGCTATCTTCTCTTAAGAATGCATCTTGATTTTATAATGGAAGTTGGCTCTCAACAGCATTTTTCTTTTGTACTTTAAAGCTTAAGACACAAAGAAAAGCATGCATAAATAATCTGTCAAGTCTAGGGATACCTCTGTATATACTTCCAAGTCTCTTCCTCTCTGTAAATTTTTTGTTAGAAATTTATGGCAGTCAATTATATATCCTTGGCACCTACCGCATCCTTTGGTTTTCATAAGCATGTTTGACTTAAATACTCTCTGCCATCACTTATTCTTCCACCTCCAAACTCATTTGTTTTGAGTTTGCTATTGTATTTTCACTTTTTATTTATTTTCATTTTTGAGATGGCATCTTGCTCTGTCTTCCAGGGTGAAGTGCAGTGCAGTGATCACGTCTTACCGCAGCCTGGAACTCCTGGGCTCAAGTCATTCTCCTGCCTCAGCCTCCTGAGTAGCTGGGACTATAGGCACTCACCATCACACCTGGCTAATTAAAAAAAATTGTTTTGCAGAGACAGGATCTTGCTATGTTGCCCAGGCTGGTCTCAAATTCCTAGCTTCAAGTGATCTTCCTCCTTGGCCTCCAAAAGTGCTGGAATAGTAACAGGAGTGAGCCATGGTGCCTGGCCTCTATTTTCATTGAGAACTCTCTTTTAGGTCTAGTATTATCAGCTGCATCATAAAAAAAGGTCCAGAAAAACAAAAACAACATATTAAAACTTAGGTCAAGGTTTCTTTGATTTTCTTCCTTTTTTTTTTTTTTTTTTTTTTTTTAAGATAGAGTCTTGCTCTGTCACCCAGGCTGGAGTGCAACGGCACAATCTCGGCTCACTGCAACCTCCACCTCCAGGTTTCAAGCGATTCTCCCACCTCAGCCTCCTGAGTCGCTGGGATTACAGGCACCTGCATCATGCTGGACTAATTTTTGTATTTTTGTAGAGATGGGGTTTCACTATGTTGTTGGCCAGGCTGATCTTGAACTTCTGACCTCAGGTGATCTGCCCACCTCGGCATCCCAGATTGCTGGGATTACAGGCGTGAGCCACCATGCTCAGCCTCTTTGATATTTTTATGTGATTGATTTCTTGCTGACCTTCATTGGCCACAGACACATTTACATTTGTTAATGGTTCTGGGGCTAATAATCTCACTTTAAAGAACAACATAAGTTGTTTAGATGACATGTGATTATAGGAAAGGACTGATCAAGCCAGGAAATGAGGATCCCCAATCAATGATTCAGTCACTTACTGTGGCCTAAAGTGAAATCAATTAAGTCCTTCCTGAATAATTTTTTTTTTTTTTTTACATAGTGACAGGGCCTCTCTCTGTTTGTCACCCAGGCTGGAGTACAGTGGTGTGATCACGGTTCACTGTACCCTTGACTTCCCAGGCTCAAGAGATCCTCCTTTATTGATATGGTTTGGCCGTGTCCACACCTGTCTCAACTTAAATTTTTTCTCCGCAAATTCCCATGTTTTATAGGAGCGACCCAGGGGTAGGTAATTGAATTATGGGCGGGGGGGGGCTGGTTTTTCCCGTGCTAGTCTCATGACAGTGAATAAGTCTCAGGAGATCTGACGGGTTTTCTGCTTTAGTCTCTTCCTTATTTTCTCTTGCAACTACTGTGTAAGAAGTGCCTTTCACCTCCCACCATGATTCTGAGGCCTCCCCAGCCATGTGAAACCGTTAAGTCCAATTAAACTTCTTTTGTTCCCAGTTTCGGATATATCTAACAGTAGCATGAAAATGAATTAATACACATATCAACCTCCTTAGTAGTTAGGACTACAGGCATGTGCCGTCATGCCTGGCTAAATTAAAACTTTTTTTGTTGGGATGGGATCTTGCTATGTTGTACAGGCTGGTCTGGAACTCCTGAACTCAAGTAATTCTCCTGCCTCAGCCTCCCAAATGCTGGGATCACAGAGCGAGCCATTGTACCTAGTCTTCCTTGTGTAATTCTTAGTGTAAATCTGGAATAATCCATATCAATCTTATTGAAAAATAAGGAAGAAAATTGGTATGTATTTGAAAGAGACAAAATAATTAGATACCTTTGATTCAGCTGTTATACTTTTAGCAGAAATAATATTTACTTTTAGAATGCTTAATTTTCTTAAAAACCCAAACACAAAGACTTGAAAATCCTTTTCTACATAATCTTTTTATCTTGAAATTTACTGTCTCTTGAGAGAAGAGATGGTTTCCGAATTTTTTCTTGCATCACAATCTGCCAACCACAGAGAAATTAAGTGATGCTTAAGAAACTAAGTATGATCTATATTTATTTTCAGCATAATATTTTACTGATTTTTTTCACCGTCTATAAAATATCTATGCTGACTATGTCTAAAAATCTTTTTAAAGCTGCCTAATTGTGTGATTTCTGGTTGGTACTCTCAATCCATTTGCAAACATTCATCACCATTTAGTTCAAATGGAATGTCCTTGAATTACTTGACCCATCAAAAGGCTTCATCTTCTTTTGGCTGTTTAAGTGATGAATACTGATCTCTGAAATGACTGTTTAATTTTTTCATTAGTCTTTTTACGTAAGAAGGAAAAGCTGTATCTTCAAAATATATGATTTGATCAAGTATTAAGGAGATCACAAGTGTTTCCTACGAGTGCTTACTGTATATATTACGATGATGTAAAATGCATAACTGGCTCACTCAGTTATTTGTGGTGGTAATAGACGATATATTTAACAACCTGAAGGGCATGGGTGCCAACCAAACAGAACAAGGCATTGGTCTTAGTGCTAGAGAAGATTGCTGGATCATGAGGAGGGGGCTCCTGGGAAGGGGGGCAGCGTAGTTGGGGGGGATGGAAGTAAAATATTCAGAAAGCTGTGCTATGTTTCACTATTCTAACAATAGCATGGCTGTGCTAAAAAGACCCCACCACCCGTAAGTTCTGTTGTTTGAAGAACTGTGTCAAGGAAGCCAAGAGTATAAATTTCACCTGGATGCAGACCTGTTAACAGATACAGCAATTTCCAATACATTCTAATAAAGCCGCATGATGATGAAAGAAAAGAGCACAGACTTTGGGGTCAGCAAGGCTGAATTTGGATCCTTTCTTTATTCCTTAATATCTGTGTGATCCTGGGAAAATTTCTTGTGCTCTACTAATGTCAGTTTCCTCCTCTACAAGAGGAGATAGCAATGCCCTCCCTTTAGGGTTGCTGAATGGCTACAGGTGATATGGGTGAAGCTCCTGGAGTAGCACTGAGCCATAGGCAGGAGGGGCTAAGGGCAGCTGCCATCATTCCCTTTCTTTCTGTGAGTCCATTCTCTAAGCGTTGTTCTTTCCTTCTTGGAAAAACTTTTCTTGAGCTCTTTGTTTTCTGCTCCTGCCTTAAATGTTGATGATCCTTGGAATTCCTTTCTGTGAGTGTCTTGTTCTCTTTCTCTCTTTATTCTCTCCAGCAGCCTCATCCACAACCATGACTTCTGCTATAACTTTAGGCATGATTTCCTAATCTGAATCATTGTTCGGATATTTCTCCTGAGCTCCAAATCCGGGTTCTTACTAGTGTTCTCTGCTTGGCTATCGTTCAGCACCCCCAGACTCCACGTGTCTGGAATTGAATTCATGATTTTCCCTAGCACCACACTCTTCCTGCCTCTGCTACCTTAGTTGAAGGTAGCACCATTCATATATGTTCTTAAGCTGGGAAGCTGGGGGTTATCTTTGAACATTAACTATCCCTTTCCTCTTTCCTTTTTCCTCTTTCTCCTCTCCTTCCTTTTCCTTTTCCCTTCCCTCCTTTCTCTGTCTCTTTTTCCTCCCTCCTTCTCTTCCTTCCTCCCTTCCTTCCTTCCTTCCTTCCTTCCTTCCTTTTCTTTCCTTCCTGATCTTGCTGTGTTGCTCAGGCTGGAGTACAGTGGTTTCATCTCAGCTCACTGCAGCCTCAACTTCCTGCGCCCAAGCAATCCTCCCACCTCGGTTTTCTGAGTAGCTGGGACTACAGGTATGTACCACTGCACCCAGATAATTTTTGCATTTTTAATAGAGATGCTGTTGCCCACACTGGTCTTGAACTCCTGGGCTCAAGCAATCCACCTGCGTCAATTTCCCAGAGTGCTGGGATTATAGGCATGAGTCACTATGCCCTGCCAATTACCACTTTTACATCCAAATATGTCATCTCTTCCTGTTAATTTTGCCTGGTAAATATCTTTTTATTCATATGGTCTTACTTCAGGTCTCCAATCTTTCTCCACTATTAACTTGACTTCATTGCTTGTAGCATCAACCCCCTTCAGAATAGCCTATAAAAAGCCTAGAGAGGCTGGGCGCAGCGACTCAGGCCTGTAATCCCAGCACTTTGGGAGGTGGAGGCGGGGGGATCACTTGAGATCAGGAGTTGGAAACCAGTCTGGCCAACATGGCAAAACCCTTTCTCTAGTAAAAATACAAAAATTAGCCATGTGTGGTGGTGTATAGGGGTAGTCCCAGCTACTAGGGAGGCTGAGGAATGAGAATAGCCTGAACCCGGGAGGCAGAGGTTGCAGTGAGCTGAGATTGTGCCACTTCGCTGTAGCGTGCGTGACAGAACAAGACTGTCAAAAAATAACAAAAGGCCTAGAGAATAATTCTTTTCTTCCTCATATTATTTTCTTTTTTGGTGGCAGGGTCTCACTCTGCCACCAGGCTGGAGTGCAGTAGCAATTGTACCTCACTGTAGCCTCACACTCCTGGGCTCAAGTAACTTTTAAAAATTTGGCTAGCTAAAAATGGCTATTCATTGTAAAAAGGCGAAAAAAGTTACAGGTAAATAAAAATAAAAACTACCTATAATCCACCATACTAAAAATTTGGTACACATTTTTCAGATTATTTTAAACATATGCATAATATAATGCTGTGTAAGGTGAACTCTAGTAAATTTTGAATCCTTCTTGTGATGAGATTTAAAATAAGTTAAACTAGGATGTGAAGTTTTAACTCCACTGGGCAATTGATGGCATTTGTGCTAATGAATTGAAGTTAAATCGTTGGTTGCTGACTGATTTTTGGTTGATTGTATTTGAGAGACTGTCAGGCCAAATCACCTACCTTTGTTGGGGCTAAAAGGGTTCTCCTAAAGGAAATAGATGTACCTGCTGTCAGTCATCCTAGGGAGCATTTAATCCTTGGAGCATGAAAGTTGGAGAACAAGCCTTGATAAGGCTGAAGGCTATTCTCTCACACCAGAAGTACTTTTTAGTAAACTCTGAGGAAGGGATTGAAGGAGCATTTCCAGGGAAGGAACAGATAAGGGTTACATGAAGGAGGCTGGGTGCAAACCAGCTTTCCCTGCATCCTTTTTTTTTTTTTTTTTTTTCCAGAGATGGGTTCTCCCTTTGTCTCCCAGACTGGAGTGCAGTGGTGCAATCATATCTTATTAGTGGCCTGAACTCCTGGGCTCAAGTCATCCTCCTGCCTCTGCCTCCCAAGTAGCTAGAACCTCAGGCACGCACCACCACACCTGGATAATTTTTTCATTTTTTGGTTTTTGTAGAGACAAGTTCTCACTATGTTGCCCAGGCTGGTCTTAAACTCCTAGGCTCAAGTAACCCTCCCACCACAGCCTCCCAAACTACTGAGATTACAGGTGTGGGTCACCAAAGTCGACCTTGCAAACCAGACTTGTTAGGGACCAAGGATATACCCGGGCACGTGCGGTAGAAATTCTGAGTTACTCTGCGTGTAGTGCTCCCTTCTCATTATTCTCAAAACCATGGCAAGACTCAATGGAAGTGACAGTCTGCTTCCTGCTGAACCAAGGAAGTAAGGGAAGAAGTCTGGTTGATACTTGAGACAAAATTAAATGACTAAGAAATGTAACTAGCGCATTACAACACAGCTAAGATAACCAATGAGTAATCATAGTTGAAATGTATTAGGTGTCTTGTCAGTAACTTAAATTCAGTAGTAATTGACATTCTGCAGTAATAAAAATTAGTAGTGTCAATGTAGCAGACAATTGTCACCTTTTCAGCATCTATGGTACTTAATTTACTTGCATCTTAAAATTCTGTGTGCAGCAATAACTTATCCAAGTGACCTTTAAAAGGTGAAGTCTTCTTAAGGTATTTGTTTTTTACGTAGATAATAATCCTTTGAAAAAAGACAAGCCTTCCTAAAAAATAGGTGGCTGTGAATATCTGTCTTATTTCATTGCTCTGAAGCTCTTCATTGTTGATGGTCATTCATGGTTTTGCAGAGCTGTGGGTGTTTCTGTGGTTGGTGGTGCCCCACACAACATTCCCATGTTGCCTTCAGTGATGATGTTGCTTTACTCTTGTTATATGACCTATTATCTTGTGGAGAAATTTGCAGTTCTGCAATTTAAATCTATTTTCTTAGCCAGGCGCAGTGGCTCATGCCTGTAATCCCAGCACTTTGGGAGGCAGAGGTGGGTGGATCACTGGAGTGCAAGGGTTTGAGACCAGCCTGGCCAACATGGCAAAACCCTGGCTCTACTAAAAATAAAAAAATTAGCCGGGCATAGTGGTGTCCACCTGTAATTACAGCTACTTGTCAGGCTGAGGCCCTAGAATTTCTTGAACCCAGGTGGCAGAGGTTGCAGTGAACCGAGATCACATCACTGTACTCCAGCCTGAGTGGCAGAGCAAGACTCTTCTTCAAAACAAACAAACAAAAGCTATCTTGTTAATGTTTCCATGTTTTATTAGTGAAAATTAGATCTGAGATTTCCTGAGTCTCAAGAGACTTTCTGTGTACGAATTATTTTAACTTAGTATCTTTGAAGACAGTAATTAACGTAGTATATTTAAGTTGCTAAGTTTTTTCTCTGCATATCCTGGATTTTTAAATGACACTGATTATTTGTATCACATGCTGGTTAGACCAAAAGAAGATGTTTCAAATTAATGTAAAACAAGTTCAGCCTTCCCATTCTTAAAGTTAGTTTTTAAAAAATGTCATATAAGTAGGAATCTGTTATGTATGTTACCTTTGTTTCCTAAGAATAGTCTTTTCATAGCACTAAGACAAAAAGACTTTTCGATCTTTTCCTAAATATTTTGCATTCATTTATATGAAATGGGAATATTTTAGTTTTCATAGTATCAAGATTTGTAAGAACTTATAGCAAAATAATAATGTACACTAAGATAATTTCTGTTTCATAAATTGTTTTGTACTGATTGAAATTACTCCTGTTCATGTACACTAATATTTAAGTATTTGTCTTCTCCTAAGGTCCAAGATAACACGTTGTTTTTGCCAGTGGATCTCCAATTTTAGCGTGCATCCAAAATGCCTGGAAGATGCTGGGTCTCACCCTGATATTCTGACTCAGTAGGTCTTGGGAGGGGCTGAGAATATGCCTTTGTAAAAAGTTCTTAGGTTATGCTGATGCTTCTGGCAGGGGACCCCACTTTAGAGTGATTAGTTTATTTTATTTTTGGTTTTTGGAGACAGAGGTTTGCTCTATCACCCAGGCTGGAGTGCAGTGGTGCCGTCTCAGCTGACTGCAACCTCTGCCTCAGCTGGGTTCAGGTTATTCTCGTACCTCAGCCTCCCAAATAGCTGGGTTTACAGATGCCTGCCACTACACCTGGCTAATTTGTGTATTTTTAGTAGAAATGGGGTTTCACCATGTTGCCCAGGCTGGTCTCAAACTCCTGACCTCAAGTGATCTGCTCTCCTCAGCCTCCCAAAATGCTACGATTGCAGGTTTGAGCCACCGCGCCAGTTGAGAACCATTAGTTTAAACATTCAGGAGGATGCTCTGGATAGGCTTGCCTGAATGCTGGAAAGTTTCTGCGACTAATAGACACAGACAGAGGATCCCTCATAGATGTTCTGATCCTAAGTGCTTAGGTCATATATCCCCATTTAATTTCATAACGCGTGGAATGCTGGCTCAGGTGATGGGGAGAGGGCTAAAGCTATAAGCCCCACTTCAGCTATGGGAGAGTACAGGCAGGTGTGGAAGAGTGTGTTAGTTTAGCTTTGTACAAATGGAATTGGAAGTTCAGGTGGAGCCATAAGGAAGGCAAATAAAAACTAGGGACCAACACTCAGGAACAGGAACAGGACTGCAGAGAGAAAGGAAACTAACAACTTGTTGACTACATAATGACAGATGCCTTCATTGACTCATTTCATTTAATCCACACCAGTCTCCTGAGGGCAGGGAATAGTATTCTCATTTTTATAGTTGATGAAAGAGACTGAGATTCAGAAGGTTAAGTATCTTACTCAAGGACACTCCCAAATTGTAATTGTCTGTGCCTTAAATTAAACCCCAGCTGGTTTGTTTATAAACTTTCTATTGAATCTGTGGATGAGAGTTTGAGAAGGGAAGTTAGGCAGAGTGTAACATACTGCAAAGAGATCAAGTGGGATGAAAACTTGGAAAGGGACACTTAGATTTGCCATCTGAAATGAAAAGCTTTAGCATTTTGGTTATCAATGCAAGTCCCCCAACTGCAGAGGGCAAAGAAGGAGATATAGTAAGTGAAGACTTACTTTTGAAAAGGTTGACTTTGGCTGGGCATGGCTCATACCTGTAACCCCAGCACTTTGGGAGGCTGAGGTGGGAGGATCCCGTTGAGCTTAGGAGTTTGAGATCACCCTGGGCAATATAGTGAGACCTTGGCTCTACTAAAATTCCCCCCAAATTAGCCCGGTGGTATGGTACATGCCTGTGGTTCCAGCTACTTGGCAGGCTGAGGTGGAAGGATCACCTGAGCCTGGGAGGTCGAGGCTGTAGTGAGCTATGATCACACCACTGCACTCCATCCTGAACGACAGTCTCACTCTGTCTCAAAGAGAGAATGATACCTTGAGGATTAAGATCTTCCCTTACACAGGCACCCATGCAAATTGGTGGGTTGTTTATTCAGACACAGTCCATTAAAATGTTGCTTCAAGGTTTTGGATTACATCGAACTGATGTCTCTTGATAGATTTTTTTTCCCATACCTACATCTGTTGGAACACTTACAAACAAGCAGGGTATTCCGGTCTTGTCAGACTTCTCCTGCCAAATAGGTTTAATTATGTAACTGGGTGAGGTGTGCATTGCCTCTTACATAAGAACTGGTTTTTCTCTCATTTATCAAACTGGATTGGGCTACTTACTTCTCTCTTGCTTGTGTGCATGTGATCTGTGATGGAGAAGGTCCCAGTAAAGGCATTACTTAACAGACTTTCAGTTTTAGTTTAAGCTTTAGAGCCGATGAGCTCAGGTTCTTAAAATGCTTAACACGGAGAAAATAAACTCTATTATATTTAAGTGCTTGAAGTGTTTTGCTAGTGATCCAAAATAAATGAAATATTAAGTGATTGATTCATATGGGTTAATCCATTCACATAAAAGGTTGTGTAAAATATTATTCCATTCCTCCTATAAACTCATTATTTTATCTTTTTGTTTTGGAGTTACTATGGAGATAACTTATAAATGACTATAGATTTTTTTTTCTGCGGTATGACTACTAAGATTCTTAGTTGATTGATTACTGAACTCCCAAATATTTAACAGGTAGAGCTAAGACAGTGAATACTATATTAAACCTGAACCTAATGTAGCTCAAATTCTTTTTTAGAACCAGGCAGGTTATAAAGTAATTAACACATTACCAAGATGCTAATCAGTATCTAAGGGAAATGAAATTGTTTCTGTCACATGAGTTCTCATAATTAAAATAGATTTTAGAAATGATTTATGGATTTTTCTTTTGTCTGAAGAATATTCTAGCTACATTTTCAAAACTGCTAGAAATTCTCCCTGAGGATTAGTATAAAAGTGTATGTGAATCTATGCTTTTATTTAATTAAAAAAATATATATATATAAATTAGAGAGAGAGAGAGAGAGAGAGAGAGAGAGAGAGACAGGGTCTCGCTGTGACATCCAGGCTAGAGTGCAGTGATGTAATCACAGCTCACTGCAGCTTTGACCTCCTGGCCTCAGGCAATCCTCCCACCTCAGCCTCTCAGGTAGTTGGGACTGCTGGTGTGCACCATCACACTCAGCTTTTTTTTTTTATTATTCTTTTTTTTTCTTGAGCAAGTTGTTCCAATACTCGGCTACTTTTAAAAAATGTTTTGTAGCGATACGGGTCTCACTGTGTTGCCCAGGCTGGCCTCAAACTCCTGAGCTCAAGCAATCCTCCTTCTGCGGCCTCCCAAAGTGCTTGGATTACAGGTGTGTGAGACTGCACCCAGCTAAGCTGTGTTCTTTTTATTGTTTACCAACATAAGAACTCAAGAGCAGACAGACACTCAGACTTCCCCCAAAGTCAACCCTGCACATAGGCAAATTTTAACAGCTATCTGTACAAGATTATAGGACTATCAGCAGCTTCTAATGTTTTTCCCCTTTGGTCCATTTGTAAGCCAGTGGTGACACCATCCTTTTCCCTCTAAATCACCTGAAAGAACTCCAAAATATTAGACCATTGCTTTGGGTTACATATTAAACAGGTAAATGATCCCCTGGACCACTTGAACCTACTGCTAAAATATATGTTTGGTACCATGATCTCTCTGGTTTCAGTTTCCTCATCTGTAAAATGGGGATAATAGTATTCACCTAATAGAATTTTTAAAAGCCATTATTTGTAATATGAAATAGAGACAGGGTCTCCTTGTGTTGTCCAGGCTGGTCTCGAACTCCTGGGCTCAAGCAATCCTTCTACCTCGGCCTCCCAAAGTGCTGGGATTACTGGCATAATCATGCCCAGCCTAGAGCTGTCATGAAGAGTAATGTAATACATGTAAAGCCCTTAGAACAATGTGTACCATAGAGTAGTCTGCCAATTGAAGTGATACATTTATTCCCTAAGAGGGAAGAGAGAATAAGCCATCTTCTGAGAAGCTATCAGTGAAGAGTGACAGAAAAGTGGAGGGGATTGAAAGTGGGTGAATTTGGCAGTTCAGAGTCAGATTTGATGGCATTTGGGCAAAGGAAGCTGCCCAGGAGGGGTGCGCCATGACTGAAATCGATCCTGTCTGCATAGGAGGGCACTTCCCACGGACTTCGTGTCTTCCAGTGTGTGGTCAGAGGAACACAGGGTCAATCCATATTTGCCTTCAGCCCACTGTCATCTCTGAGCCCAAGCCCCAGCCTTTGAAAGATGCTGCTTTCTTCCACTCAAGATGCAGGGTCCATCTAACATTAAAAATGATGCTACTTTTTTTTTTTTTTTTTTTCAGTGAGACAGACTCTTGTGTTCTTGCCAAGGCTGGAGTGCAGTTGCATGATCTTAACTCACTGCAGTCTCCGCCTCCTGAGTGTAAATGATTCTCCTGCCTCAACCTCCTGAGTAGCTGGGATTACAGACATGCACCACTATGCCTGGCTAATTTTTGTACTTTTAGTAGAGATGGGGTTTCACCATGTTGGCCAAGCTGGTTTTGAACTCTTGCCCTCAAATGATCCACCTGCCTTGGCCTCCCAAAGTGCTGGGATTACAGGCATAAACCACCATGCCTGGCCAAGGAATGCTATTTCTTTTCCAGGCTCTCATTTCATATCTCCAAATGGGAAAAAAAAAACCATGTTGTTTACCTCTCTAAGCCTGTGTAGACAGATACTTTTCTTAACCAACCTCTCTAAACAAAGAATTGCAATGCCTCCTCCAGGTGTATATTTAGAAACGTTTCCATGGTCACTCTTTCCAGTTTGGGCATCTGTCATTTGGCTGTTGCAGCATGCAGGTGAGATGCCTCTCATGGTCACACCACACCATGTCTGGGCCAGGGTGGGGGTGGGGAGTGAGAAGCCCAGAAGAGCCTGTTACTGCTATCAGCACCTGTGCTGATTGCTTTATGATTTTACTTTAATTGGGCAGGTCATATGGCCTCCCTGGAATGACATTCTGTCCTTTGTGAAATGAGAGTGCTGGCTAAGCCTCTAGAGCACCTTCAAGCACTGGTCATATTTGATTGATGTGACCCAAGTCACCAAGAAGTTGACTGACTCTAGGGCTGCTAACTTATTTCTTACATACCTGTTACAAAAGCAAAACCGGAAAGCTCTTCTACTCAATAATGATCTCAAATAGATTGTATCTAGTGACCCTGAAGCCACCATGACAGTTGACTTCTTCCTGGGCTCTGTTCCCTCTGGTATGACCCCTACTGTTCCACTTGACTTGAAACAGGCTTTGCTGTTATTTGCTTTCTGAAGACTCCCAAACTTCAAGCCAGTTCATCAGAAAACTTCCTGAGCTCCTAAGACTTTGTGAGACTAAAATGTTTTAATTCTAGTCTATGTAGGATCGGTCTGACCACAGTGAGACTGTTCAAAATAGGTAGCATCTAAAACTTTTGTTATTAACAATAGCTGATTTAATAAGTGGCCAATTATACTTTGAATAGAGTCATTTCCAGACATGATCCTGATAACATTTGCTAGGCATTTGGCAACATTTCTTCATGAAGCTCATAAGCAAATTGCTTAAAAACTATGGAGAGAGGGCATGCAAAGAAAATTGCTAATATGGGACTATGAGGTTGCTGTGAAATTGCACAATCGTGGTTTTTTAAATGTATTTTAGGAATGACAAAATGACCATCAAGAAAGATTAATGCTGACTCTGTTAGTGACTGGAGAATGCTAGGACAAATGTAAATGAGCTCATGGATATGATTCAGATGCTGATGTGATTTGCTACCCATATATTTCTAGCAGTGAGCTGTTTAAATATCTTGATATTCTGTATTTGGAAAACATGCACCTGTCATCTTTGGATGAAAGGTTTTGTAAGTTATTTTGTAAAGTTCTTGTGGGTGATGATTTTCTAAATTCTTCGTCTTACCCCAAGAAACTTAATTCATTATATTCACTATATAGATTCAGCTATTTGAAATGCCTTTTAAGATGGAAAGAGAAAATATTTACATACATAAATATATTGCATAGTGTGCTTAATAACTATTTTAAGTGGAAATGTGTTCCCCTTGTCTGTGGGAGAAGCCTGCATAGTTCTTGAGTAAATTTATTTAAAATGTTCAGTCTGTATTTTACCATTGCAGGGTGGGGACTGGGAAGATTTAAGTAATCTAAATGCATAAACCCAGATATTTTCTTCATATAAGTAATGTATTTTATTTTAGTCTCAGGGTGTTAGAAACAAGGGCTCTGAGTTGCAAAGGAAATGAGCAAAGGATTTCTCAGCAAGACAAATGTGCTTCTGCAGAAGGGTGCTGTTTGCACCTCTGGCTGCTGTGAGAGCACACCAAACGAAGGAGACAAGGGTTTTTTATTCCTAATGCAATTCTTGTTTCTGTGTCCTTCCACTATTGGCTGGAGTTGGGCTGCACACTCTAAGCTGATCCTGATTGGCTAAAACTTAAACTTTTCTAAATAAGGTAGTAAAATGAAAGCTTTGAAGGCTGAAGTGGAGAAAAGGATGAGTAGTGTAGGGGTTGGGTAGATTTATAATCTTACAACTTATGGCCAGGAAGTTGAGTTTGAAGAGAAACCTAGTGGTACAAGACATATTTGGGCATGTCAGGGCATGACAAAGGCAGAGAGGTTTGTCACGGAAAACCTGTTTTGGCTCAAGAGGGACAGTTCACAGCAGAGCAGATAGCTTAAGAGAAGGGACAAGGAAGTTTATCTTGAGAACAAAGAATAAGGAAGTTAAAAGGTAAACCTTTGAAGAGGAACTCACTGCATCACTGTATCTGACAAGGGTACATGTGCAAGTTTGTTATATAGGTAAACTCATGTCATAGAGGTTTGTTGTACAGATTATTTTGTTGCACAGGTATTAGGCCTAGTACCCAATACTTACTTTTTCTGATCCCTTCTCTCCTCCCATCCTCCACCCTCACATAGGGCTCTGTGTCTGTTGTTACTCTCTTTGTGTGCATGAGTTCTCATATTTAGCTCGCACTTATAAGTGAAAAGATGCGGTATTTGGTTTTTTGCTCCTGCATTAGTTTGCTAAGGATAATGGCCTCCAGGTCCATCCACGTGCTTGCAAAAGACATGATCTCATTTTTTTATAACATGTATTTCTTCAATATGATTTAAAGTTAGAAATGGTTCATTTACCAATAGCCCAAGAAGTTACAGATGTATATTCTGTGTTCCTAAGATCTTCACCAGGCCCAGACATGTATACCAGCCTGTTCTTCAGCACAATTTAGAAACTGTTTTAAAGTTTCATGTTAAAGAACATGGGTATTGGGGTGTGTTCATGGTTCACCATAGCATGTATCTCATTAAAACAAAAAAGAATGTAGGTATTTAAAGATATTTGCATATTTTTGAGTTTTCAACATTATGACATAGATACATTAAAAAGTATAGGTGATAGTATTATAAATACCTACTGCGCTGATATCTGATATAAGATTATTACAACCATAATTGAAGTCCCTTGTGAAACCTATTTCCCACCCTCCTTCCCTCTCCAGTTTTTATACTTTTACTCTCTCTGTGTTTATATACATATAATGTATATATTATATATATATATATACATAAATATATGGCCTTAAAATTATGCTATCTTTGGCATTTTAATTTTTATATAAATTGTATCATACTATACATATCCCTACTTTTGAAAAGTTCAAAAGACTTTTTTTGCTGTTTAGCAATATGTTTTTTAGATACCCATGTTGGCAGATCTGGTTCTATTTTATTCACTTTCACTGATGGTTGTGATTTATTAGGTGAATAAATCCAAACAATTTTCAGCCGTTCCTTTTTTTGTTTTGTGTTTTAGATAGAGTCTTGCGCTTTCGCCCAGGCTGAAGTGTAATGGCATGATCTTGGCTCACTGCAACCTCTGCCTCCTGAGTTCAAGTGATTCTCCTGCCTCAGCCTTTGAGTAGCTGGGATTACAAGCATGCTCCACCATGCCTGGCTAATTTTTTTATTTTTAGTGGAGGCAAAGTTTCACCACGTTGGCCAGGCTAGTGTCAAACTCCGGATCTCAAGTGATTTGCCCTCTTTGGCCTCTCAAAGTCTGGGATTATAGGCGTGTGCCGCTGTGCCAAGCCTCTCTCCAGCTTTAATTTTTATATAAGTTGTATCATAATATACGTATCCCTTCTTAAAACGTTCAAAAACACTTTTATTGTTGTTTAGCAGTATGTTTTTTAGATTTATCCATGTTGACAGATGCAGCTGTAATCACTTTCACCAATGGGTGTTATTCATTGGGTGAGTAAATCAGAATATCTTTCAGCCATTCTTATATTGATTGATTATTTCAAATTTTTTTAGTTTTAAAAATATCATATTAAATATTATTTTACAATTATCCATATCTTCTTAGACAATACTTTCTTTAGGAATATATATGTAGCAATAAAATTGCTGGGTTATAGGGTACACCCGTCTTCATTAGATGTGGCCAAATTGTTCTCTAAAGTGATTGTATTAATACCAATTTATAGGCTCCACTAGCAGTGTTCCCTTGCTGCTTCTCTCACTAAAATTTATCATCAGAATTTTTTTTTTTTTACAATCTGCTGAGTGTAACTAGAATATCTTATTGTTTTATTATTAATTTCCCTTGTCGTAACTGAGGTTGAACATCTTTTTATATACTTACTGGCCATTTAGGTTTTGTGTTCTGAGAATTTTATCTTTTTTACTTATTTCTTAGGTTGCTTATGTTATTAAGGATTTATAGAAGTTCTTTATAATATTTGGTCATGAATCTTTTTTCTCCCAATCTGTGGCTTATCTTTTGATTTTTAAATGCTATCTTTTAGGCTGGCCATGGTGGCTCACACTTGTAATCCCAGAGCTCTGGGAGGCCAAGGTGGGTGGATTGCTTGAGCCCAATAGTTCAAGACCAGCCTGGGAAACATAGCAAGACCTCATCTTTACAAAAAATACAAAAAAATTAACCAGGCATGGCGGTACCCACTTGTAGCCCAGTTACTGGGGAGGCTATGGTGGGAAGATCCCTTGACCCTGGGAGTGCTGCTGCACTCCAACCTGTCTTTAAAAAAAAAAAAAAAAAAAGCTATTTTTTAATTAACAAAACATTCATTAATTTTTTGAACATTTTTCTGTTTTATAAAGTTTTTCATACCATGAGATTATAAAGCTATTTTCTAATATTTTTCTAAGTGTTTTGTTTTCTTCATTTAGCTTTTAACCTACCTGCAGTTGATTTTTGAAAACTGTGTGGGATAGGGATCTCGTTTTACTTTTCCAAAAGAACAACCAATTATTGTAGCACACCTTATTGAATGCAACTTTCCTATGCTGGGAATGGGAAAATGTTTGCTAATCCTGTTTGGGCTTTTCTTCTTGAAACTAAGAGAGTTCAGTTATTACCATTTCTGAAAAAACTTAAGATATTTTCTCTTTGAATTGTTTTCCTGTTTTTTTCTCCTTTCTTTCCAAAACTCATATTAGAACTACTTTAGACCGTCTCCTTCTCTTTTCCACTTTTCTTAGCTTCTTTTTCATGTTGTTTTTTACTTTGATTCTCTATCTCGCCTTCTATGCAATTTCCTTAGATTTAAGTTACCTCTTATTATTTCTTCAGCTGTGTCTAATATTCTCTTTAACAGTTCTCTTTAACGCTTTAAAGCGTTAGTTTCAGTGACTACATTTTTCACTTACATAAATTCTATTTTTCCTTTTCAAATCTCTTTAGTCTTTTTAGTCTTTATTAGTCTTTAATCAAATAGTTTTATCCTTTTTTATAGTGTCATTAGTTTCACAGGTATCCAAT